GCAGGAAATTCCTGTTCCCAGGAAAAGTCAAACCTGTATGGTGGAGGCTCCACCTAAAACACAGGGTGAGCCTGTTAGATTCCAACATAAAATCCAGGGAAAGAACAGTTCGTGTTGCCACAGGACCGACTGGTTTAACTAACTGGTTCCTGGATCAGGTTTCATCACTCATTAATGCAACCCCCCAAACAGCTCCAATCCCTCACCACAGAACCCTCACAGCTGCAGGTCTTGGCTCTGCAGCAGTTCCCAAGCAAAGGGCAGGAAGAGGGAAAAGACCTCTATAAAATATTTACTAGATTTAGAGCTGAACTCATTTACCAACAGGAGACATGCCACTTGATTTAAAAACCCTTGGAGAGGCTCATTTGTGCCATCACACCATGTGTTACCAGTCACCTTGCCCAGAACAGCCTGGGGACAGGAATTCCAACTCAGGAACACTGCAAGGAGTTTGTGCCACCCTGCAAAGCTCAGCCATTAATCACACCTTCTGGTTACTCCTTCCCACACTTGGGTCCTGCTTCAAGTTACACCATGAGGCACTCTGAGCTGTGCCTTGCTGTCCTGTTAAACATTACTGCCCAGTGTGGGATCTCTAAGGGATTTCTACCAAACACAGAGTTTGGACTTAGCAGGAAGAACCCCAGTGCAGATCCCAGGAGCACTGGGAAGCAGAACACAACCCTGACAGCTCCTGCTCTGCTGGGAGAGGCTCCAAGGGCAGTGCCAGGGGGATGGGAACAGCCCCAGCAGGAGGGTGCAAAGGGCCCAGGCCGTGGTGGGTCCCTGGGAGCAGCACAGGGACGTGGTGGCCTCAGAACAAGTGAAATCCTGTTCCCAAACTGTGAGCGTCTGTGCACCATCTGTGGCCCACAGAGCACAGCAGCTGAGCTCCCTCTGCCAGCAGGTTTGTCACAGCTCCTCGGGAGGGGATGGAGGAGGCCACGGGGCCTTGAGCAGGCAAACACCAAACTGCCACACTCTAAATCTGCTTCTCCTTGATCCGAAGATGTCAAATGTCTCTTTTAAGCTTTCAATCTGCTCCCTTTCAAACCCAACAATTGTTAACAGATAGGTGTTCCCATTCCCTGGGCCTGAAACTCTCCAGTAATCCTCTCTTCATCCACTTAAGGGGAAAGAATGCAATGGGGGCTAACAAATGCATCATTCCCTGAATTCCCATCTGCACACAAACCCTGGCCAAATCCTTTTGTTCAACTTGCTCAGAGTAATCAGATCAAAAAGTCATGAAGCTCTTTAGACAAACAACAAACCTGCACTCCCAGGAAGGAAAGATTCATCAAAATCAAGCATATGTTTTTGCAGCCCCTGAGGAAAAACCTCCTTGTCCTGCAGGAGGGACCAAGGGGGATTCAGCCACTTGTGACTCCTTCATACAGATCTGTCCATTACAGGATCATTACCACTGCAAAATTCTCCTTAACCCTGGACAAATCCCTATGGAGCAGCTCTGACACGAGACACAGCCATGCCAACAATTCTCAGGACAAGCATGGTCCATGGATTGCCTGTGCCCATGACCAGTGCCAGCTGACCCAGGATTCTGACAGCACCACCACACACCAGGAATGCATTCCCAGGATAGTTTGTACAGGTAATACCAACACCTGCATCAAGTCAAACCTATATTGGGTAGAGCTGGATGGAAGATTCTTCACTGGGACAAAGGGAGGAAACCAAATGAGCTGCCAAAGTTTGGCATTCTGAGGTGAAATTTAAGGGGGAAATGACCAGAAAACACTAACACTTCTAGGTAAGAGGTATCCAAAGATGAAGTTCTGAAGCACATCCCCAACACCATTCATCACAAGTTTGCTTTTTGTGCCTTTTCGTCCTGGCAATGAGGTGTTCCTCAAAGCTTCCCATTAGTACTCCCACAGAGGCAGCTTGCAGATGAAACACAGACTTGACTTTCATCCCATTGCTAAGACTTGAAAGACAAGACCCACCACACAAGACTGAACTAATTTGTACACTCTGCAGCAAAACTGACTCTTTACCACCAACCAGTCAAAAGTTACAGTCCTGATTTCAGCAAGGAAGAGCCAAAGGTGCTCTCCAACCTGCAGACACAAACTGCTTGTACCTTCTGATTTGCACCAAATTTAAAGCCCCATCTTTGTAAGATTGACACTGAAAATCCTGCAAGGTGCAATGCAAGTTCTTCACCCACCAATGAGACCTTCTACAGCTCTATTTTAAAACAGAAATCCATATTGGAAAGGGTTTTTGGTACAAAGGCACGTGAGTAAATCCCTCTAAGCCCCATGTTTTGGCAAAGCAGGTAGAAATGCAGCCCAGGTGACCTGAGGCAGTGGTGCCTCAGTCTCCCAGCACAGACAGGACTTACCCAGAGCTCTGGCCACAGCCAGGAAGGGGATCTGGTCGATGACCGTGCTGCGGCGCACGGGGCCGTTGTGGGTCAGCCGAGGTCTCTTCCACACCACTCGATTCACACCAGACTTGTTGATCACACTGAAACCACCAGAGAGAGGCAGAGGTCAGGCAGGAATGGGGATTGAAAGCACAGAACTTGGTTTCAATGAGACAAGACCAGTTTAATATGGAGGCAAAATAATGAGAGGACTCTCCGGGATCCAGAGCACAATGAGGTGTTTCAAAACACAAAGTATCACTTAGTTTCATCCCATATTAAGCCAAAGGGCAAAGTGAGAGGAAATAAAAAGCAGAGGAATGAAGACCTGGAAGAAATTCTGGCTGGCTGCAACAACCAGATGCAAAAGTATCTTTTCAATCTGTCAGAGAAAGAGCAGAATCAAATCTGGTTCGCTCAGATGAGCACCATCAACATCAACCCACTTGGGTGGAAATACCGCAAAGCTGCTGGTTCAGTTTCTTCCACCTCCCAAAGTGTGGCAGAGTTGAAGCACCACAAGAGAAAGGAGCAGATTGCTGTAGGGATTTCCTTAACTGCATCAACACCAGGGAGACACAAAGAGGAACTGTTCCTAGCTGCTGGAAGCAGGAGGTAGAGAGAAACAACACCTGCTCTAAGGCACTGAGCACTCATTTAGCTCCCACAGATGGCACTGAAGGGTCAAAGGAGAAGCTACAGAGCAACTCACTGGGGCAGCTGTTATCAGGGAAAAAAGAACAACAGAGAGTAGGAGCCACCAAGGAAGAAGAGCTAATGAAACCAGGAACCAGCAAAGTTTGGTCCTCACCAAGCTAAGAACTAGATACTTGAAAAGTTCCTTTTATCCCAGGAACAGCCATTGGTAATTAGGAACTGAGCAGCTCTGGAACAGCCTCAAGATTCCCCATACTGAAGCTATTCAAGATGCACTTCCTGAGACTTCAAAGGCCTTAACAACAAGGGCATGTTGAGCTCCATCCCTTCACATGCACAGCACAGTCCTGACACCACATCCCAAGGACTGATCTCATCCCCTTGTACAGCTAATGACCACACAGAGCTCACTTCAGTCACTGCTGGAAAGAAGACCTCAACCCACACTCAGACTGTTCCTAGGAAAGCATCATTTTAAAGGAAGATTCAGTTATGCTCTCCCCTTAACTGCTCCCAGCTTGCTGACATGAAAAGAGAAAACATCAACAAGCACAGCTGCAGAATTCCACCTCACTGCTACCATTGCCTCACAGCCAGTCTGGGGAAAGCAAAAGGAACAGCAGTTAAAAGATTCAAAAAAACCCTCCAGAATTAACCATTTTGTTCATGCAAAGTTTCAGGGCATTCTTTGAAGCTTCAGAGACTTTCAATCTCTGAGATGCACAACATGGAAACCACTCAAGTACTAATTCAACAGAACTGCAGGTTTCTTTCTGCAAAGCAACCAAGACAGCCAACCTGATCCACTCCAACCTGCCAGAGACACAAATGTCTGAAGGTTAATGAGCTGACAGATTTCTCAGGTGAGAAATGTCAACAGGAGAAGCTCCAGTGATCCCTGCCCAGAGGAGGAGGCCATGCCCATCCCTCTGGTGTGGCACTGCAGGCTGAGAGAACAGGGAGCTCTTGTGAAGTTCCACCAAACATGAGCCCTGAGGTTTGTCTCCAGACACCAGAAATTACAGGGTATTTGGTGTCAAAATTTGACAGACTGGATATTCCAGAGCTCCTACTGTTTTACCTATAGGGAAAGGCAATTTTGCCTAGCCACAGTCCTCAGAATGTAATGAAAAATAGATCAAATATCACTTACAAAGTTGTCAGAGGAGATTCAGACTTGTAACCACACCTCAGCTGTGTGATCCACCAGGAAATTAAACTTCTGTATATACCACTAGCAAAAACCACACCCAGATCACTAACTTATTCCCTAACAAGCCATAAAACCCCAGAGGACAGAACATAAACACTGTGACATTCAGCTCCTTGCACGGCCCCCCCAAAACAAACAAGCTGAAGCTTAGTTCAAAGCAGAAAGACAATCACCTGCCCCCGAGGCCTTCGATTCTCTCCCTTTCTTTGGGAAGTTCTGGTTTGTGGTCCTGGGTCACCTCCACAGCTCTCACAAAGTCATCCTTGGGGTCGTCCTGGACTCCTAGCACCACTCCCGAGTCCCCAACGTGGGCCACGTACATCTTGGAGCCGCGGATGATCACCACGCTGGCTGTGGTCCCCGACGTGCTCGGGAGACCCGTCATGGTCTTGGGCCACTCTGCTGCAAGGAGAAAGAGGCCAAAAAAAGCAGGGTTTAGTTCTGTGGAACTGGGAATGTCTGGAAGGTCATGGTGAAGGGTGTCAGAGGCTTGTGTAACATGACAACAGCCTGTGTCAAGTACAGCACGGCCAAGCCAAACGTGCCCCCAGGTCAGCCCCACTCTCACATCACTTCAGACACAGCTCACACTGACACACAGATAGATATACACTAAAGCAGTATCAAAGCACCAGGACAGGGCTGAAAACACAATCTCCTCTGGCTTAATATTCCAAGCAGCACTAGAAGAGCTCAGGAGTTGTGCTCCTTGAGCACTGAACAGGATCGACCAAGTATTTCATTAAAAACTCCTGTTCACTTCCCTTTCTGAAGACACAGAAACATTCTAAATTTGGTTATTTTTGTTTGGATATTTGACCGGCAATCAATTTTCTGGACATTCCTGATCTCCTTAGAAGGAAAGACAAGGCTATTTTACCTTCATAGGCTGAACAACATTTTAGGCTGAGTAACATCTCAACTGTTGTGTCCAATTTCCCTCTGGAGCACTGAACAACACAGAGTCTTCTATCCATCATCCAACAATCTCCTGCAGTAGATACCCCTTGAATTCAGAGCAGTAACATCCCTATACTGGAAATCTTTCCTAACTGCTTCCCCTCAAAACACTTGTATTAACTTCCTGTCACACTACTCTCTCCATTTACATCCAACCCAAATTTCTCTTCCACACTCCTCCAATTTTTGTGCCTACAAAAGTTCATCTTCTTCCACAAAATGATTGAGCCAACGTCCTCATTCAGACAGATCAGCCACACCATCCTCCTCCCCACTTCAGCACCCACCAAGAACCATACCCAAGTTCCCAGTTATCAGTTGATTTCAACTGTCAACAGCAACCTCATGTTTCCTCTTCACTGCTCCCACTCATGTCTCCAGACAAACTCCTAAGGAGACTCATCTCCCTGTCACTTTCTATCTCCTGCACTTCACAAGTCAAGCTCACACAGCACAGAAATTCCACTGTGACACAAGCTGTTTGCAGGGAATACCCAAGCCAGGCTGCCAAAGCACTAGAGTCCTGATTTTCAAGTGGCACAGACACACAAGAAATAAACCAAAACACAATTACATATTCCCCTTGGGGAAAAGAGAGATATTAAACTCTTAAAGCTTTACTCAGAACCAAAAATAATGGCATTTAATAAATTCCAGTGAATTAGAACTAACAAGTTCTAGTGAAGAAGACAAGAACTTCCAAGGCAAGGAGGAGAAGACTTGGAAGAGATGCTGAAGGAAGAGAATTTATAGACAACTGCTGATAAAACCTGCATTTCCTCAGTGTGAGCTACCAAAGCTGTACAGAGTTCTAGCTTTGTGTTCCAGACACTCAGACACACTTTCTCCCTAGGAGCAGCTTTATTTTGAGAACAAAATCAGCTTATTGGAAGTACTTTGGCAATTTTAACTGGGGATATTAAATCTAACACAGTCCAAATGGAAAGCAAAGGAGGGAGGAAGCCAAGTGGTAATGAGGACTTCAACCAGGCACTTGACAGAAAACAAGCTACAACTAACGAGTTTCTGTCAGTGGAACAACCTCGCTACAGCAATAAAATGGATGAGAGAGTCAAATCAGTCTTTATGGGCATGAGGAGCACAGAGAGGGAAATCACCCACTTGTGAGAAAGAACCACACAGCAGCCTCAACAGAACCAGAAATTATCTGCCTATCACCAAGGGATTTCAGCTCATGCTTTGCTCCTGCTAGAGATAAGTATTATATATAGCACAGCACAGTTCTCCTCAGAGATTGTGTCTCACCAGAAAACCAGCAAAAGTGTCAAAACTGCTGAGTTTCCTTCCAAGCCCGAGTATTAAACTCAGAGCCACTTACCCAACTCCCACAGACCAGGAGTAAGTTTTCCTCAGCTTTGTAACCTGAGCAATAGGACATCTTTCCAAACAATCTCCCCCTCCACTCAGAAACCACTGCCCTTCACTCACCTTTCAACTCTGAGCTCATAAACTCAACTGGTTTTGTAGCTTCCAATGTGGACCTTTACCCCTGAACCTCTGGGGCACACAGAGCATTTTATTGCTACAGAACGAATGCCAAAAGTTATCAGCAAGGTCAAAGAGGCATCTTGGGTTTAACTCTTCTGGTGCTGTCACCATCAATGGTTTGTGTCTATCACAGGAGACATCACAGGGTGACCCCAGAGCAGCTGAGCAGGACCTTCTCTTCCAACTGGAAGCAATAAAGGCTCCATCCTCCACACCAAAACTCCAAACCATCCTCCCCACACACTTCTCCAGACACCAACATACTCCATCTCCATTTCATGTCCACCGTGTTGCCAACACACAGTTCAAGATCTGCTCTGCCCCTGATGATAAGGACAATTATTTCCTCTAAATGAAACTCACCCTGGGATTCCATAACACAGTGAGGATTTATAAACTACAGATAACACTGGTTTTGCCCCACAAACTCAGCCTGCCCTGCACATGCAGCAGAAGTCAGTAAGACCAAACATGCTCTGTAGTTTACCAAACTGCCACCCCAAACGCTCACAGCCAGAGCTGTGTTGTTTCTCACAACAACATAAACTGCTTCCACAACCCGAGTGCTGTTTGTAAAACACTCAGTGCTCCCTGGCACTTCCCTCCAGCTCTGCCTTTGGTGTTCACACAGGGACAAGTAACACCAACTAGAACACCAGAGCAGAAAACTGAACTCCTTATCTTTCCCCCCCATACCCTCTCGCCCTGCTCACACCCACCCCAGCATCAAAGCTGTGGTCAAGTTCACTCCTTCCAAAATTCACACCCTTCCCTCTGGGCCTCATATCAACGTGCCCTAGACCTTGCTATTCCTTCCCCTGTGTCTTCTCAAGCGTATGAATTTGCACAACTTCTCTATTTTGCTGTTGAAGAAACAGGAAAATGAAACTGTTTTGACACTAATTCCCCCCTCACTCCCCCCAGAATCACTTCTTTGAAACCCTGAGGTGCTCGGAGGGAATTGTTGCTTTTCAGGTTTCCCTCCCAGGCCAAACTGACACTGTGTCACAGGTTTGATCCAATTTCACTATTCTGCCTTCATATGCTGTTCATTGCTCTTAGATTCTGTCTGAGGCTTTGGAATAATAAATCCATACACAATACACACACACTCTACACGTTATATATAAACAAACACACTGAGTCATAACCTAGAAAGGAAAAAAAAAACAACCTTTCAGAAACTCAATATGCTGCTTCACTAGACCTCAGGGAGGAGGAAGAGTACCAGAGTGCTGACTGTTCCCTGTCTGAGCACTCTCCTCACTTATTTAGGACCCAAACTTCACCATCCCTGGAGGTTTTGAAGACAAAACTAGATGTGGCACTTAGTGCCAAGGTCTAGTAGCCACAGTAGGGTTGGACTTGATCTTGGAGGTCTCTTCCAACCAGGTAGATTCTATGCTTATGACTCTATGCTACTGCAATTAAGCAAACAATATATATCTATCTTTATATAAATATAGCTATGAAAGTTTTGTATGTATAGACACACATATCAAAACGATCCTGAGTGTGTTTTCTGTTTTGCCAGATCCACTGCACATCCCCCAACGCTGACAACAACACGAGTGAGTACAGGTTATAAAACCGCCACATTTCAATCCATCAGGACTCACAAAACCAGCCGCAAGCACAGTCAGGGGGGAAAAAAACAAAAAAACACCATCCCAGCCCATTTCAGCTTGTGAAAACGACTCTTCATGATACAAGGGCGAGTTCTACGTAACCCCCCCAAGGCAACAAGATGAAGACTTTCCAGTAAGTGGAATTTGGAGAAGCGATTAACATCCTGAAAACAAACCCCCGTTCGCAGCTACGTAACACAGCCATCCTCGCCCTCTGCTTACACCTCCTCGCCAGTTTTTCTCGTTTCACCCCACGACTTGACTCAGAGCTCCAAACCCGAGCGGCGCTGCCCTCCCCGCTCCCTGCGCTGGGAGATGGAGACTGGAGAGAGGGGGAAAGGAGGGTGAGCCGGGGGTGGAGGGGAGAGGGGGGAGACGAGGAGGCAAAGGCAGGCGGCGCTGGGCGGAGGGACAGAGGGACAGACAGAGGGGCAGAGGGAAGAGGGACAGAGGGACAGACACAGAGGGACGGAAGGACGGAGGGGAAAGAGGGGCAGGAGGGGCAGACAGAGGGACAGACGGACGGATGGAGGGGCAGACAGAGGGACAGATGGACGGATAGACAGAGGGACAGACAGAGGGACAGAGGGAAGAGGGACAGAGGGGAAAGAGGGGCAGGAGGGGCAGACAGAGGGACAGACGGACGGATGGAGGGGCAGACAGAGGGACAGATGGACGGATAGACAGAGGGACAGACAGAGGGACAGAGGGAAGGGGGCAGAGGGACAGACACACAGAGGGACGGAAGGACAGAGGGGAAAGAGGGGCAGGAGGGACAAGAGGGACAGAGAGAGGAGCAAGAGGGACAGACAGAGGGACAAGAGGGACGGAAGGACAGACAGAGGGGCAGAGGGACGAGGGACAAGAGGGGCAGGAGGGACAGACAGAGGGGCAGATGGACGGACAGACAAAGGGACGGAGGGACAAACAGAGGCACAGAAGACCAGCCAGCCAGAGGGACAGGGCCCCGCGCCGCTTCTCCCCAACTCACGCAGCTTCTTCCACATGGCGCGGT